CCCTAAGCTCCACTCATCAAATCACTGCAGCTGTTCTTATTATCTCCAAATATTTCATAAAAAACCGTGCCTGTGGTAGCTGTTCTATTTTTTTACTCTATGTTCTCATTTTTCCTTTTTTTTTTTTTTCAAAAATAGTTTTCAAATCAATCAAGCTGAAATTTGAAAGAAGAAAAGTAAGAAAGAGCCAGTGTAGGCTAACTTATGAAGAATTTAGGTAGTTTGAAAATAAAACTGTAGATATTGGCCGTTGTAAAGTTTCAGTTAGTGAGGGGGAGGAAACCAAACCAGAGATAAGCTGGAGAAGTGTCAATAAAGCATAATCTGATGGGTCACCCCTGTATGAGGACAGGCTAAACCTACTGGTACCTACACCTGGACGGACAAAGATTAAAGGTGAAATCATCAATGAGCTTCTCAGTGTGAAGAAGGTGCTATACTTACAAAAAACGCTTCACAGATAAAGATTCTGAATTGGGAACATTTTAGATAAATAAGGGAATCTGCTATTTCACACATTGGTAATTGATATACAGAAGTCATTGCCTTCAAAAAATAAGACAAGTAGAAAACAGATTCCACAGTGGTCTAGGAAATGTGTGGAGGTGTGTCAGAGGTGAGGACTTCACCATAGCTACTCATCCGGATTATCATCCTAGAAGATAAGAAAGATATTCTCTGTTCTGTCAGCTACTGGACACATGGCAATATGGACAGTGGGAATGACTCATTTTGGCAAAAGAATATTTTGTATATTCCTATATCTGCCCCAAATTGAAATTCGCGTTCTCTATTCTGCATCTTCCCTCATGCTGTTCTCCTCACCAGGAGTGCCCATCTCCACTCTCTTCATTTACCAAAATCTCACTCATTCTTTTGAGGCCAATTTAACTCCTATTCCTTCCTTGGGAGTGAAATCTTAAAATCTCAAAATTTCACCCATACTTCTTCCGTAGCAAACAAGTGAAACAAGCTGCTTCAAGTGAAACAGCAACATCACCATAAAAATCTAGCCTGTTTACAAAAGTTGAATGAATTAACTTGGGTATTAGTGACAGAAATTATTCTATCATTAAAGCTACTGGCATGGAAAATGGACAAGGCACTAAAATATCTCCATATGTTGTATAACTATTCCTAAGAAAAAAATCTTCCTGTATGGAAAAGTTATTAAAATTTATAGATAAACATTTAATATCAGAACATATGATCTTAAAACATTCATCTCAGTTTTTCTGATTATTGTTATCATTTGTTTTAGGCAGAAATAATAACTATTTCACTATTGATGGTTCAAAGTATAGCGTGCATTTGTATTGCAATGGTTCATTATTCTGTTTAAATATAAACTCTTTAGGCTATCAGGATGAGAATTTGCATATATGTAATAGAAATAAGAACTAATCTATGTAATCAAGTTTTCTAAACATATTGAGGCTTAAAAAGTTACACACTCTATAACTCTCATAAACTGTTATTTACCATTCAAATACTATTTTATTAAGATTATATGGAACAAACTTACTTCATTATATGTCTTTGAATGACTTCCCCGAGGATCTCCTCTTAAATGAAATAAAATTATTAGGGACTTAAGGTCTATACTTTGTTGGGGGGAAGACTGAGGCTTACAGAATTTTCATCTTCTAAAATATAAAATTAATAAAGTTATTTTTCAGAATAAGATAGCCCTATCATAAAACATTTGAAAATAGTTTTTAAAATCACCTAAATTCACCAGGTTAAATTCAACTCATACTTAAATATAGCTTGTTTACAGGCAAAAATCTGAAAATGAAATTTAGTCATGCTGGAATAAATGACACTTTGCAGAAGTATTTTAAGGTAGTGTATGAAATACTGTCACGACATTTCATGTAAAAGGTGTATCCTTCCAATGTATGAAAGGTCAACTCGGTTTTTATAAAAAGCTCCTCCCCAGATTTGCAAAAACTAATAAAGACTAGATTTCACAATATTTTAGTATGTGTACTTTGTGGAGACTCAAATACATTAAATATTCTGCGTTAGTAAATCCCCGTACTGCCCGTCAATATTTTTTAATGTTTCTTTTTCTCCAGCAGGAAGCTTTAGAGGGGATAATATGCTGAGCATGAGTCATGGCCAAGACAAGGAGAGAAGGGACATCTCTGCTTGTGGGCATAGAAAGCAAAGCTAAAAATAAACTGAGTTCCTTTACAACTCAGCTGTTGCTTACAAAACCACCTGCGCAAGGTTCACATTCCCCGAGGCTGATGGACTAATGAACATCACAGATTGTTCTATTATATATATCCATGTCGTGATGAACATTATTGCTAATATCACAAATACATGACAGAGGTATGATACAGGGCTTCTCCTGCCTATCCCCTTATAAGGGAAGTGTGTGTGTGTGCGCGCGCGCGTGTGTGCGCGCGCGTGTGTGTGTGTGTGTGTGTGTGTTTTACTTGTCTCACAACAAAAACACGAATTTGGAAAGTGAAGACAATTTGAGGTAGGATGAAAAGATAGTTCACCTGTCTATGATGGCGCACATGTCGATGCTGACGTTCGCAAAGCTTCCCGGCCTCCTTTGTGCCACCTCGTATAAATTTACAAGCTGATCATCCACTTGAATGAGCTGCATGCATCCTTGGAATGAAGGCTGAAGGACGGAGTGACTTGAGTTACTCATCTGGTTCAGAAAACCTGTTAGAGAGGAGAGGGAATGTTAAAATCTGTGTACAGCATGCTTCACTGAACCTCCTCTGGGTACGTTCTCTGCCCACAGCCATTGTATCCAACCACTGTTCCGCTGATCCTTGCAGATGTGCATTCAGTGCAGAAGAATGAAGTCTTGGGACTTCTTTTAGGGAAATAAGTAAGGGTTGACCCTAGACGAATGTCTAGCATCCCTCGTATTTTCTCTTTGGGCATCTTCTTTCTCCTTCTGTCACGTTCCTCTGTCCCTCTGCTGTCAAAGGCTTACTGCTATACTTCCACATCTGACTGTCTTCAGAGATTAGAAAATAAAACTTTCTCAAAATTTCAATATTACATCTATTTTCTTAATTCCCTAGAAGGCTGTTATTCAGATATCAAGAAGCTAAACTTACTATTATCAGTTAAGGTAAATCTCTTTTATGGATTAATGTCTAATTTAATTCAAATTGTTATTTGCATTACGAATGATTTCTTAACTGATAAAATCCAAAGAAATATTACAAAGAGCTAAATTTAGACATAAAGGTCAGCCACCCTGTTTGAATATCTATTATATACGTGGTACCTAATATGGTAGAGGAGCATAAATGATAAGAAATGAAACTAAAAGAGAATAAACAATGAGACCAAATAATAAAGTAAATACTAGCAGTTCTCTACTGGGGAACAGCACATAAATATACCAAGTTTGAAATCAGACATTAAAATTTTTATTGCAAAATAACTTTAAAATAGCACCACCAATTACTATTATGTATTTTCAATAGAAAAATGCATAATATTATTATGTATAGAAAACTTGTAGGCCATAGAAAATATTTTGCAATTCCATTAAGCATCTCTTGAAAGTCCCCCAAAGCATCTACTTTCCATATAGTTTCCCACACCGCCAAAGCAAATTTAAACTATACTAATTTGATTTAAAATCTGAAGTTATTCACACATTTATTTTAATCTAATATATCTACAGCAAATAATTTACACAGAATAGACTGAGATCAAGATGTGCCATTAATATGAGTAAAAGTAAATTTTCAATAAAAAATGTTTTTTGTAGTATAAGACAACAGAAACCTCTTTCTCTCCTTATTAATGGTTTATAATAAGTCTAATAATTATCATTTGAACCTCTTTTAAGGGTTAAACACAGAGGTGTAGCATACCTTTTCCCACCAGCAGAATACTATGTAAAAATAGAATTATACTTAATTTCTTGACTTAGACTTAATATAAGACTATTTCAATGTCAAATATACAGCTCATCTATATATTTTTTTCTAAGTCACTTTTTTTTTTCATTTGCATTGACTTAGTCTCCTCAGAGATTGCTGATCTTAGATAAGTCATCTATTTAATTATATGCATACATATGATTTTCAATCTGTTTAATCAAGATAATAGTGAATGGAGTTAATGTCTAAATTTAGCAGAGAGAAAACATGCAGCTGTAACTTTAATGACTATTCTTAACAAGATAATCATTTGGTTCTGTTTTCTGAATACTTGGGAGTCTCTAAATATCCATACTAGCTTTGAAATATGCCAAAATGAGTAGAGCTATTTGTGAGAGCAAGACCTTCTCTGAAGCAAGTCAGCTGTATAACAAATAGATCACTGTGGATTGGGCATAATTAAGTTCATAAAACAAGACTTCATCAGTCACTCTTTACAATGTTCTGTTTGGACCTAATGAATTTTGGGAGTTTGAAATTGTCAAGTCCTTTCATTTTTCTAAATGAGACACATTCTAGAGGAAGGTAATTATAGGACGAAGTACTTTGTATCCATTAAAATTTTAGTTCTTTTCTCCTCTCCTTGCATTATCTTTAACATTTCCAAGAGGGATTCCATTTACTCATACCCGTTTGTAGTCCCCGGCCACGTGGAATTAGGTCAGGAGAAAACTGCAGAAGTGGTGGCAGGGTGTGACTTCCGAAGCTAGTTTTCAGTGAGGTCTCTGAGGTTACTAACTCTGAAAAGTCAGCCATCATGCCTCGAGCAGTCTTGCAGAGAGGCCCATGAGAGATAACAAGCCGTGGTTTTAAGCCATTAAATTTTGGAGAGGTTTGTGATGTAATAATAAATAACGAATAATAAAGTTGGTAATGGGAGAAAATTGTAACAAAAATCTAAAAATGTGGTAGTGACTTAGGGACTGGGTTGTCCAAGTCAGTTGGACAGACCTTGAAAGGACGTTAGCAGAAGCCGAACAGCTCTCGAGGGATTTCAGTGTTGTCAGTAATGGCTCAAAGGCAGGCGAGGGAAAAATGTTTTTGGAAATGAGATAAAATTGGGTCCTGCCCACACCTCAATAGAAAGTTTAGTAACACTGTGATAATATGAAAGGAAAAGTTGTACTTAATGAATTGTATCATCTAGCTAAGGACATTTTCAGGCAGAGAAGTCTGACATGTTCTTTCTATTTATAATTAGAACAGAAAAAGAGGAGAGAAGAGCTAAAGAAAAACTGTTAAATATGAAGAAGCCAGGACTTGATGAATTGAAAATAAAATGTTTTCTCAATTTCTATTTCTCCAGATGGTGAACAGTACAAAAGTTAAGAAAGCACTTCCAAAGATCAACTACCAGTAAAACATAATCTAAAGATGACAATGAGGTGTGACTGTAAAATCCATGTTAAGACTGCCAAAATATATTAGGTGGTGTCTCAGAGAACCATTTAGTCAGATAAAAAAAACCTATATGCAGTTTGTTGGTGTATCTTACAGATCCTCTGAGTAATACAATAGGGATTCTAATAAACTTAAGGGCATTTTCCCCCTAGTGTGTCAGCAGAAGCCCAAAGGGGAAAATGTTTAATGGAGTAAACCTGAATGACATCCATAGGAAGCCTACCGATTTTTAAGAGAACTTTATTAGTGGTAACACAACTAGCTTTGACTCAAAAGGACAAAGATAGTACAAAATGAAAAGAGGTTTTTAGACCCTAAACTTCTACAGGCAGGAAACTGACAGCTGTGAACACAAGCTACTTTTTATTTAAAAAAGCAAGTATGAATCAGACTGGTAGAACTGAGAACCCATAGGGCACAGCTGAGAGCCATGGAGAACCATTTCTAGGAAACAGCAAGACTGAGTTCTAATCAAGGAATTATCAACAGGTACCTGACTGGATTTTAGAAGTAGTTACTCCTGTGTAACTCTTACTTTTCCCCCTTTGTGTGGGTGGCATAGAACTTGTTCACAGGTCTTCAAATGAGCAGCTATATTTTAGTAACTGTACCTAAACAGCTTCATTTGGGTATAAACTTGACTTGGATGATGAGTTACTGGATTTTGAGCACATCTTTAATGGGGTGATACTTTGAAGGGCCTTTGGAGGAGGGAAGTGTACTTTTCATGTGGAGGAGACATGAATCTTTGTGTCCCAGAGGGTAAACTCTGGTAAACATCCTCCAAAAGGGCCATAAATCTTTACGTCTACTATTCATACCTTTGTGTAGTTCCCTCTCACATCGAATCAGTGCTGACCTGTGTGACAAATAGAACACGCAGAAGCGGCAGTGTATATGTGACTTCCAGAACTTAATAATAAAAGACATTAGAGGCTCCCCCTTGGTCTCTTGGACACTTGCTCTGGGGAAGCCAGCCTGTGTGCCACGAGGAGATTCCAGTAGTCCAGTGGGAAGGCACCCATGTGGAGAGGAACTAAGACCTACTACTAAAAGTCAGCAGCAACTTGCCGCCATGTGAGCGAGCCACCTTGAAGAGCAGCGTCCAATCCCAGTCAAGCCTTCAGATGACTGAGGCCCCAGGAAACACACCACTGAAGTCTCATAAGAAACTTCAAGCCAGAAGATCTCAGCCAAGTCGCTCCTGAATTACTGACCCATAGAAAAAGAAGAAATAGTAAATTACTACTGTGTTGAGCCAGTAAGTTTTGAGGTAGTTTTATGCAGCAACGGATGACTAATTCAGATTATTACTAACAATTCCTACCTTCACTTTCTCAAATAGTTTTTAAAAATTAGAAACCAATTAACAAAAAATTAGCCTGCAAAACAGAGACTGGTAGAATGCTGGCCGTTCCCTAGGAGTTATCCGTGGGTTAAAGA